ATACAAATACCAATGGTTCAGAAGCCATATTTTTTTTAGCACTTTGCCTGGCCAATTGAGACGTATTTAATCTTCTCAGCTGGCATGTCTAAAAAGTGCAGTATCAAATAAAATTATTCCTAGAATTATATAATACTAACCTGTTGGATCATTATCTGCTTCTTCGTAATCTATTTCCAAACATGCGAATAATGGGTTATCAAAACCGACATCAACTCCAACCATATGATAAGTGAGCGTATTGGATTTATGTGCTTCTAAAGGAGAAGATATTGTGAGACGCGCCTGTGTGTCACGATTAAGTATGTAAGCCAGCTTTTGTTTCTCAACAGCACCAATCATTACTGCACGGCCCTTAGGATCGATGGCAAAATATTGGCCTGGTACAATTCGTCGACAGCCTGATTTGCCAAATGTTTCTTGATGGACTTTTTCAAGTGAATTTTTGGTTGGATTGTACTCAAGAATCACAATACGACCGGAATCAGAGCCAACGACTATATAATCTATTTGACAAAAATATTGCTTGTTAATAAGAGTTTCATTAAACATTTTTAGTTGTTTCTCAGAGTTTCAGTTCAATATGGCACAGAGCCATATCAAATGCGACGCCGAGTTATTTGCTTTTGCACTTAGACGGTTATTAAAGTCTTATTGAAGTATTCAATTATGTGTGAATCTTCGATAGGGATTTGTGCTACATAATTGTATTTAAAATAGTTTCGGACTTACCCTTAGTGCCACCAGTCAGTCTGAAAGACATCAAAGCACGTATGCACCCAAAGACCTCCACGGACAAAACAGTGTGCACTTTGCCCGTATTTGAATCTGGACGTACTAACTCAAGTGATTTGCCACGTGAAAGTATTACCTCCTGCTGCTTTCCACCAGAGAAGTTTCCATGCACGGCATGTGTAATGCCAGTGCTTTTTTGTAAGGTCAAATTGTATAAATACATTTTGTATCAATTCACCTACAAGCAAAAGAAAAATTTGAGGTTAGGACAACTTGCAAGAATTCCTCACTATACGGTCCTAGTTGTTTCAATTGTCCTACTCTGGAATACCATGGTTACAGTATGAGAATTCGGTGTAACCTAACGATGCAAATGAGTAGCATTTTTTTTTTTAATTTAGCACGTTAAAAATTGCGACCAAAGCGCGGACGTTTCCGTGTCTCTGGAGATACATCGTGCACAAATATTAACTTTGCTAAAATACTGGGTCATTCGCTTAGATCGCTTACTAATATATTACCTTTCGTTCTTATTCCCAAAATTGTTCATCATTTTGATATGGATGTGAGAAGATTTATGTGGAGTACAACCAGATATTGGCCATCTTGTTAAATTTTACACCGAAGAAAATCCGAAAGCACAGAAACAGACCTTCTCCATCGGCGAACGAAATTGAAATGAACGAAAAACCGGCCAAAGAGGACAATGAAAAGGATGATTATGAAGTTGGCTGCTATTTTTAGAGTTGCCTACAACTGAAATAAAATTTTAATTAGGGTTGTATTTGCGGCACAACACCCATGAACGAAAGACACAAGATCACGCGGGAAGGAAAGAACGAAAAAAGTTATTTTCTAGCTGTTGAAATCATGAACCAAAAATACAAGATCACCTAATCAAAGAAGCAAGAAAAAAGTATATTTCTGAGTGTTTTTGACATCTGCCTAAGAATGAAAACAAACAAAGAAAACGAAAAAGGCGCGGTGATTGAGTGCGATTAAATTGGTATTTATTATAAAATATACAAAGTGAAACTTGATGACAATTAGCAAAAAAAGTTCATAAAATATGGTTTTCATGATTGAAAGTGTTTTACAATCGCATATCATTACCACGGGTCGATTTTTCAATGCCAACGTTCTGGCCACAAACGTGCACCCACTTTTCAAGCAAATTTACGCCTTTTGGCAAACCAAACATACGCACAAACTTGTTCCGATCACACAGCACTTTATTTTATACCATAAATATGTAATAAACCAAAATTTATCATTAAAATCGCTGCAGAAAACACATTCAATCGCTAAAAAATCACTACGAAGAGGTAGAAGACGGTGTAAACAAAACCGAAAAACGTCAAAAACGCTACGAAAAGTTTTTTCTGAAAATCGATTACAAATACAACGATGGCTGATTGGGTGATCTGTAGTCGTTGGTTCATGTCAAGGCGAATTTATATAAGGTGGTGTTGTTTCATCAGCTGTGAGTAGCGTTTGATTGTCAAAATTTTGAATTTCGTTAGTGAGTGAGTGAAAACGTGAGAGTGTTTGCATTTTCTGTCGCCCTTTTGCATTCGGGGAAGAATAGCTGAAATTTGACAATGGCCCGCTAAAAGCAAAAACAAAATACAAGTAATTGTTGTATTTGTTCAATCGACACCACCTTATGTGTATTCGCCTTGGTTCATGTGTTGAAATCTCGACGCCATCTTTGTTGTAAGAAGTAAACAACGAAGAGAACGGAGAAAACCGCGAAATTGTTGAACGCATGAATAATCATTTTTATTATGCAATTTCTTCTATTTTATCTTATGTGTACACACGTTGTCACAAGCGAAAATGAAGAAAATTGCAGTAATAAGCCACCACCAAATTGTAAACAACGAACAAATGTAAATAAACGGCTAATGTCATGAACGAAAGACACAAGATCACGCCTTAAGGAAAGAAAGAAAAAAGTTATTTTCTAGCTGTTGAAATCTCGACGCCATCTTTGTTGTAAGAAGTAAACAACGAAGAGAAAAAAAAAAAACGCGTAATTGTTGAACGAATGAATAATCATTTTTATTATGCAAATTCTCCTATAAATCATGTCGTTGTGTTAAATTATTCTTTACCTTATGTGTGCACACGTTGTCACAAGCGAAAATTAAGAAAATTGCAGTAAAAAGACACCACCAAATTGTAAACAACGAACAAATGTAAACAAACGGCTTATGTCAAAATCGCCCTACTTTTCTCATAAGTGCGATTATAACGGGCCACTCTTCTGCTGTCGTGATCTTGTCTTTTTGGTTCATGGGCTAATGTCAAAGTCGTCCAACTTTTTTCCTAAATGCGATTCTAACGGGCTAGTCTCCAGCCCGCGTGATCTTGTCTTTTTGGTTCATGGGGTGCAGCGAACAATATTCTATCATTCTTGCCATGAACCAAAAATACAAGATCACATGATTCAATAATACAAGGTTAGATAATTATTGACAGCTGCGGTTTGACACTCCCTTACAAAAGGTTGCATTTACGAAGGACAGAGAAAGGGCAAGAATGCAATCCCTTGTTTCGAAAATGGTAGTNTGAAATTGTTCGAAATTGTTGTTGCTTGAGATTGAAAATGAAAATGTGTGTGTGAGTTTGTGAGTAAATTTAAAAATTAAATTGTTTGGAAACGTCAAGAATTTTAAAAGTGACTCTCAGCGGTTCTACCTTACTATGTTTTTATCATGCATGCACCTTGCTCTTGTTCTTACGTGATCTGTGTCTTTCGTTCATGCATTCTTGCTCTTCGTCCACGGCCAGGGCTGCCAGCTTCACTCAAACCTTGCGGTTTGGACCTATTTTATTTCAAATGGCACTTAATTTTACAGTTGGGCACAAAGTGCTAAAACGGCACTTTTGAAAAATAGTAATATTGCAATAAATTTTTGTTAAATCCTTTGCCGGAACTTCTTTTTCTCAACTAAAATTATCTACATCTTTTTGGCACCTTTATTCTTCTATTTGCCACATTTTAACACATTTTTTTATCCTCAATATCGCACTTCATTGCTAGGTATAGCTGGCAGCCCTGTCAACGGCATGCCGCTTTCATTCCAAAACAAAAACAATCATCTTATTTTTGCTAATTTCAAATAATTCACAAAATGAGTGCTCCTTCGTTAAAGAAACAAAAGTTCTCGCATTACAAGCAAAATAACTATTTTAAGCCAAGCAAGCGACAGTTCCTAGAAGTAGGGCAGCGTGGGTTTTTAGCCACCTGTAACTTCCGCGAGAGAGACTGTGTACGTGAAGCTTATAACGTACTTAACCAATATGCGGACGAGCTATATGGTCCAAATGTAAAGGAAGGAATTACAACGTCCACCTTGGACAAGGATGTGGAGTCAGAGGAAGTTGGTGATATAGCAGATGACCTACAGAAAGAAATCGACGCCTCGAAAGCATCCAAGCAAAATGCCAAGGGTGCTGTTAAACAACGTTTCCAAGCAGTAGATACTGGAGCCACAAATTGTCTATTTATTCGCACCACACTGCCCGATCCGGTAGAATTGGGAGCACGTATTATCAACGATATTGCAGACACACGTGAGCAAAAAACACGCTTTTTGCTAAGGCTTGTACCTGTGGAAATGGTTTGCCGCGCCAATTTAGCAGATATCACTAGCACCGGCGGCGAACTTTTTGATAAGTATTTTCTCAAAGATGGAACTACATTTGCAATAGTATTTAATAAGCGTTATAACAATGATGTAAAACGTGAAGATGTTATTCATGAACTGGCAGCGTTGGTGCAATCGAAGAATATAAAAAATCGTGTGGACTTGAAACAAGCCGAAAAAACTGTAGTAGTTGAGGTGATTAAGGGATTATGCTGCCTTAGCGTTTTGGATGGCTACTTGAAGTATAAAAAATATAACTTAGTGGAGTTGGCAAATGTTAAAGAAAATGATACTACTGACGTTAAAAACGGGGAAGAAACAGAACAAGCAGTTTCAGATGTTGTTGAAGTAAATGAGGACAATGAAAATGGTAAAAACGGTATCCTGGCGGAGGAAACACAGGAAGAAAAAGAGGCAGTGCCCGAATGAATCACATTAAATTAAATGTATTAAGATATACATATGTACCTACATATAGTATATATTTTTTCCAGCTAGGCTAATATATTGATTTGTGAAATCTAGTGTCTCTGTTAAATTGTTCTTTAAATCAGGTGAGTCTGAAACCCTTTTAGCTCAACAGAAAAACGTATTCATACGTACACATAATTATTACCATATTTTAGGATTAAACTTTATTAGATAACAAAAATTATATTTACTAATCACACCCAGATAAAACTATTTTGGAAATGGATCTGTATAATAGGACACCCACATTATAAATCAAAAAATCTACTTGAGCACAGTAGTTGGTGGTTTCTTCAACAAAACACCAACAGTAGAGGCAATTTTCTCATAGGCCATAAACATAAGGGCTGCAGTCAGCACTGTTTGTAATATTTTTGCTTCCAAACCACGGAAAAGTCCCTTAAATCCTTGATGTTTCAATATGCTTAACATTATTTCCACCATGCTGGCATCACTTGAAGTATGCTTTGTTGTAGACGATTGTTTTGTGCGATGGCGTTGTTTTGTCTGTACTAACTGTAGCGGATAAGTAAGAACTGTAGCAAATGCTTTGGCAAGGGCACCAATCCCAAAGAAACCTAAACTAGAGATATCAGTGCCTGTGAACTTCATCAGATTTCGTTTCAACAGTTCATACATCATAAATTGCAATGCAGGATTAGAAACGAGTATTAGTGATGGTATAGTACCAGACCATAAACCACGAATTCCTTCAGTTTTAGCAACATAAATGAGTCCACCGATCAAGCTTTTATAATATTTGTTAACATCATCTGATGTACCAGCTACATTACGCATTCGAACGCGCGTGTTTACAACCCAAAATGGAGTGGTGCATAACACGTTTAAAATGCCGGCAATTGAACCCAAGAAAAGATCTCTTAATGCAGATTGCTGCTTGCCATCGGCAGATAGGGCCTTCAAACTGCGAATGGAAAAATATGTTTACCTGCTAAAAGATCTGTTTATAAATAAACAAACCCACCTGTGGAATGTATAGAAATATACAAAGTTAGAAATGCACAAACTTTGGAGCACCGGGCCCAAACCGCGATACAATGCTTGAAAGCCCTCGCCGAGTACTATCTCCTTAATAACTTGTGTGGTGCTTCGCGCCGCACCAATTTTGTCCGGATCTTCCACTGAAATCATTCAACGAAATTTTATACTGATTTTTATATGTAGAGAGGAATTTTAAAATTACATAAATGCATACACACCTAAATATATGTATGTACATTTGTACATATAAAAAAGCAAACAAAAGAAATTTAAAAAATTTCGCATGCAAATTTATACCGCTTATTTTTTTATATAACGCTCACACAATAGAGCAAAGTCCATCATCTCATTAATCAATTTAACTTACGCTGTAGTCGGGAGCGCACCGTGTCAAGTGGGTAAAATGTGCTCATAGCAATGCAACCGCCCTAGAATTAAAATACAGGTATAGAATAAAAAGTCATCTTATCTTCTTCCTTACTATAGAAATAAACACCTACCGCAGCTCCTGACACGGCGTGTACCCAAGATCGGTAATTAAATACTTGGCTCAACTTAGATTGGGCAACCATTTTGGTCAAACTGCAACTCGTTCTCCTAGGTTGGACTTTGGTCAATGTTTAAAGTGCTTATCCACAAATTAATCAGTATTATGCAGAACCGAAATTGTTCCTGTTCAAATTGCTGTGCAAGTTAGCACCATCGGGTTTCGCCAATGCTACACGCTCCGCATATACACCTTTGGCAAGTTTTGCCACCAACTGCAAAAATTAAATACCACTATTTTAATCGTATTATTTTGTTTAGATTCTACTTGCTATTACTAAAATTAGCGGTTGTTGTTGTTGTAGCAGCATACAAGTTCCCCAAAGAGTTTATGGGAAGTGGTGCTGGAGTCCTTTGCCGAATATAAATTTGGGTTGTTCCGGTTACGTAGACCAGGCTGTCGTGGGAACGTAAAAATAGCGATAATAGCCAATGATTCAAATAGCTCCCGCTTATTAAACAATTGCAGCTCTTGTTGATTTATTTGACTCAGAAAGAGGAAATAAACAGACGTAAACATGAAAACCGGATTTTTCGCGTTTTGTGTTTTATTGCCGGTCGTTACGGTCGTTATTAGGGTTGCTTTGTGTTGAGAACTACCAAACACCAGAGTTGCAACTATAAGTCATTTGGTTTATTTTTCGTCTGTTCCAGTACTCTAGGTTTTATTCAGAAATAATAATTTTCGCTCTAAATCGTTTTCTTTTCGCTTCCGTGTATTCACTATGGGTGTATGGAAAAATTCGAGCGATTTTTTTTTTGGGCGATGAGGCTGATTGTAAATGCAAGTACTGGAGCGAGGGGATAAGTTTAAGTTCTTTCCTTGACGACGGCATTTTGAATCTAAAATTACCCATGAAGTTGCGTGCAGCCTACGTCACAGCTGTCAATTCAAATGAATTTTGACAAGCAGTATGTGTGATCAACTTGAAAGTGTTTCCAAGAAAGCCGTTTCTACACATCGAAATGAATCGGGTTATACCCGACGAAGTGGGGCAACAACTGCTCCGCGTCCTTCTGCTTAAGGCTGGTATCGGGTCAATCCCTCGACCAGAAACCTATACCTGCTGCGTATGTCAGAGTCGATTACACCAAAACTCCACTTCAGTCAGCGGCATTACATGCAACGGATGGAGTCACCTTAGATCCTGATCAGGCCTTAGAAGTCACTGGCAGTGGACAACGTCTTTTGTGAAACCCTGACACGACTGCCTCAGTGAAGCACAACACACCCCACGTACAGGTCCCACAAAATACCCAGGCTGCTTCCACGGCTCACTGGAGTTCACCTAAGCAACGCTACCCCGACACGATCACCTTCCAACATAACACAAACACAACCACAACTCCACCTACACGCTGCCCACCAGCGAGGACAAACCAACAGCTTCTAGTTCTTCACACATTCTGTTCGGTGTGTCAGAAGGATTATGGGCAGTTGCTGCAGCTCGCCTGGCATAACAACTCTAAGTGCTGGTCTGATAAACAGCATAACGTGGCGACCTATGCTGAGGTTAGCATCAGACCATCTCCCCAAAGTTATGTCGGTAAGCATGGTTCGTAAAGTTGATAGCACAACACCAGCCCTTAACGCCATAAACACTCAGATAACCCGATGCCTTAACTGAAACCGCTCTTGTGAGATAACAGTCCGTTGGATCTGTCAAAGGCGTTTGACACCATCAGCCGATCAACCCTATTAGAAGATATTGAGGCTTCCTCTCTTCTACAGGGACTCAAACTGTGGTCAGCGAATTATCTCAGTGGTCGAAATTCGTCAGTCATTTTCAGAGATACAGCTACTAAACAGAAAAAGAATTAAACATTGATCCCATAGGATGGTGTCATTTCCCTGCTTCTGTTTAATTACTATATATCGAAGCTCCCTCAACCACCAGATTGAGTCTCCATTATCTCTTATGTTGACGACTGCTCAATATATGACGTGCGAAAATGGAATTGACGATCTGTGCTCGAAAACAAACGGTTACCTCTCCGAACTATCTATCGCTTAGAAGCCTTTCAGGGGAGGGATTCTGTAGGATATCGCACTTGTTGACTTAGAAATATTTGATATCAAACGTCGACAAAAACGATACCGATTCGAAAATTGTCGTTAACTGGTTACAGAATCTGTCCCAGGCCTACAAAAATGATATCGTCCGATTCAGCTGGAACAAAAATGCTTCAAACAAGTAAGGGGTTCTCTGTATTATGGCATCGAATCGACATATATACATCTTTCATTGAATCAGTAAAAAAGCTCTATTGGCTCTTACATTCGGGTTTTGTTAGGCGTTTTTTCCATATTTTTGGCCTATGTGCGCGTTTTATTCGAAACCTAAATGTTTCGGTACCGAGTATCGAGAGTATTGGGTACTTAAAAGTATTGACTCAGCACATCACTACTGCTGTCTTCTCTACTATGACGTCACCAAAACAGCTGATTCTGTCAAAATCACTGAGAGCCGAGTAGCGGTATCGTCATCGGCGCCACCTCTGTATTCTCTCCACCGTGCATTGATAGTGGGTGTGGCGCCGCCCCTTTATGACCACAAATATGTATCTCGGTAACCGATTTATCAATTTCTCACAAACTCGGTGCATTTAATAACCTTGGAACGGAAAAGCAATTGAAAAGTTGAAAATTATTCAAATCGGGCTTAATTTACACCCGCTTCCCGTATAACGGTAAATTTCAGAAATACGAGAACTTTGATATTTCAATAACTGAGGACGCTTATTTACTTTAGTTACAACAACCACTTAACAATAAATAAGTCTGACCTAAAAGTATATAAGGGATAGGGCGTGGCGCTGCCCACTTTATGACTACATGATTTATCTCGGTAACCATTTTATCGATTTTTACCAAACTTGGTACAATTATATCATTAAGTCTAACTCAGCATGTTATCGAAACTATTATAGATTTTTAAAAATAAAAATATTTTTTTCTTAAATTTAATTTAATTTTTAGAAACCAACTTTTTATTAATTTCTTAATTAATTTTTGTTTCTTTTTTAATTTTTAAATTTAGTGTTTAAAATAAGGATTTTTTTAAATTTCATTTATTTTTTGTAACCTATTTTGTTTATTTTTCTTTTTTTAAATTAATTTGTATTTCTTTGTTAATTCTTATAGTTTTAAAAAGAAAAATATATTGCTTTTTATTTAAAATAATTTTTTCTTTTACTTGATTAAATTTTTAGATTTTGTTTTAAAAATATAAATATATTTAATTTTATTGTTTTTCTAGTTAAATTTTTAGATTTTATTGTTTTCAAAAGAAAAAATACTTCTTTAATTCTATTTAATTTTTAAAAATACTTTTTTTTTTATTTATTTTTCTTTTATTATTTTATTATTTTTTATATAACTTTCTTAGTTTTGTAGTATTGTATCTATACATAGTATAAAGGAAAGTTGAGATTCTTTGTACGCGGTAAGCTCGAAAACTACTGAACGGATTTTGACGAGATTTTCTCTAATATACTCTGTTTCGATGGGAGAGTGACCTTTTTTATTTAGAATTTTAATAGGGTTGCCACCTGTCTAAAAAACTATAAGATCCGATGTGTCAAATGAAAGCGATTAGTCTCTAGAAAGTAGCTAATGTCTTATTTTTTGAATAGGGTTGCCACCTGTTAAAAACTATAAAATTTTCACCGTTCGTTGGATAAAAAAAGTTAGATACCAAATGAAAGTGCATGGCCTTCGTATGTAAAAAACTTCAATTTTTTTGGGTAGGGTTGCCACCTATTTAAAATTACTATCTTCTATACATAGTATAATGGAAAGGCGAGATATTTTGACCACGCTACTGAACGGATTTAGACAAGATTTTTTAAGTATATAATAAACGAAGTAAATGATGGCAAATGATTTCTTTCTCCAAATACGTAAATGTACAACGTATGCATAATTTCAGCACGTCGCGAAGCCTCGCGCATCCGTGGCCGCCTAGTTATTTGATAATTGTCTTACGAAAGACGTTTTTCTTTCGAAAGACCGTAATGAATTGAAAGGCAGTTGCCAGAACTGCCATGTTAATCCGTTTGATACTTAGAACAAAAAGCCCTTGGATATGCTAGGAAACATTAAAAGCCTTCCCTCATAAAGCGGAGGGCCAATAATAATTTATAATTCAATATATTTTTTTATGTAATTGCTCAAACTTTCTTATTTTTCATTTATAAACATACATATGTATGTATGTACATATGTGAGTATATAGTTTATTTATAAACAAGGTGATTGTGAACCTATCAGTCACTGTCCTCTCCAGAGACCAACACGCAAACTTTAAAGTAATCAAAAGCAACAACTACAATGCTTTCATGTGTATATACATACTTATGTATATACATTTTTACATATACATATACACTCATCCATGGGTAGTATATTGTACACAATAGGCGATTGCACATTCAAACTCGTGCACCGGCGTTGCGCTTCCCAATCGCCTTGGTTGCGCATGAATAATGGTAATTAGGCTCATCTTGCGGACTTTACTTATTACAATGATGTTATTATACTTTATTTCTAATTTGACTTCATGTATATTCATATATACATACATACATACGTACATTAGACCGTACCGGAAAAGTTCACCGTATACGCCTGAGTCTAGAGTACATATTTTTGCAAAGCTAAATAATAAATATATGATTTTCCTTAAAAAAAAAATAAAAAACTAAAAATTAAAAAAATTTGATTGAAAAGACAAAAAAAAATAATAAAATAATTCGTTTCTAAGAATTTATTGAAATTAAAAAAAACATATCGCTAGCTTAGAGTGAAAAGCTGCTAAGTCCACTTTTTATGAAAACTCATATTTTGATATAGGAGGCTAGAGAAATTGAACACGCATCGTCTAGAAAGTTATAAAAGTACTTGGTTTATTTTTTCCTCTTCATAAGCAATAAATGGAAAATTTGCTAAGTCCAAAAGAAGCACCACAAATCCGATAAGGCCAAAATAATACGACATCTTTTAATAAATATCGAATCCTTCTGATTCTTATGGAGTTTTGCTTTGCTTTAAACGCGCAAAATGTTTGATTCAAAGTCTTGCGAAATAGTTAAAGAAAATCGCTATAGGAAGGTGATTTCCTCTCCTGTAAAATTTTTATAATGGGACTTAGCAACTTTTCTTTCTAAGCTAGCGATATTTTCTTTTTAAAGCACTAAATTCAAACACCAAAAGAAAAAGAAATTAAGTAAAGGAAAAAAAATAGTTTCTGAAAATTAAATGACATTAAAAAGTACTTATCGTTTTAAGGCAATAAAATCTAAAGATAAAAAAAATCAAAAATCAAAAAAAAAAATTTGAGGGTTCGATCGATCCCTGTTTAAGTTCACAGAAAGAAGTCTGTTGAGGAGTTATGCAGTAACATAAAAACAAAAAGATATTCCGCTGAATTGATAACCTTAACCGCCCCGTTTTTGAAGTCGGTTAAATATACAATCTACATAAAATATTTAAGTTTCAAAAATTAAATAGAATAAAAAAATATATATTTTATACTGAAAACAATAAAGTCTAAAAACTAAAAAAACAAAGAAAAAAATTCCGT